GAGTTCATTAACGCACCTAACTATTTGAACTTCACCTGTGATGCACACAGGTAAGGCGCTCGGCTGCGAATCAAACTTGCTCGCACAGCTACCCAGCTGAGCGGCGCCCCCAGTGGGGTCGAGAGTGATGCCCTGGGCGGCGAACTGCAAGGTCAGCCGCTGGAATCCTGATGTCAGAACTGGGAGTGCACCTGGGGCTCTGGGAAGGAGCGCCTGGCCATCCACTTCCAAATAAGCAGGCGTTGAACACCCTGTGGTTCCCAGTTCGACTCAGACAGACCTGGAGTCCCCCGGAATCAGAACGGAGTAGCTGGTACCTGGTCAACAACAACAATAAACCCCAAACTGCCCAGCGGCGCTGTCAGCAGCCACGCCATACGAACCAGCAGTGCCTCTCGCTCCGCCCGGTGCTTCTGCTGCTCTTGATGCAGCCGGTCTTCGTACTGGCCGTACAGCTTCTTGGTCATCTCTCTCAGCACCTCGGCGTTGGCTTCTTGGGATGATTCCACCTACAACGAGAATCCCTTCAGGTCTATGGCTCTCAAGGGGGTTCCAGGGCATTCGTCAGCCTCCATTCTGTGTGTAAGGCGTGGGCCCATGGAGGGGGCAAAGCACAAGCAACAAACCAACCACCCATCAGGGTTCCGGGTCAAGAGAAGCAGCAGGGGCCATGGGGGAAGCGTAGCATGGAAAAATTAAAAGTGCCACGTTCCATTCATTTTTAAATGGCATTGTCATAGGAGAATGTCTTCAGCAAATACATTGTGCAAGTATATATATATATATATGGAGGTGGAACATATATTAAAAGAAGCTTATGAAACATATTAACCTAATGGTGATGGTACAACCTGGAAAAAGGGTAGTCATAAAGGGTTCACAACATAAAGAACGTAATAAATGTCCCAGACATACACACACAAGGGGAAATGGCTGACTTGGCAAATGTTTGATCTATCTATCTTCACCACAATTTAACTGCAAAAAGAGGGGAGAGAGAGGTACATTTATTAACTGCAATGTATATACCATGTTTTCTCCTGAACTGAACACAAATAAGACGAGTGGGGTAATTTCAACCTTGTGTTAGAGGAGGCATCGAGGAGTTCGTGGATGAATGGAAATTGTGCTCATATGTGTCGACCCACTTAAGCACAAAAGCCTTCAGCACCATCAGCAGGAGCGTGGAGGACTACAGGGAAGGGTGTAGCTGCAACCACACTGACACGGAGTTGCTGGAATATATTGGAGCTCGGTGATGGTACCTGAAGGTTCATTCGTCTCTCTACTTCTATAAATATCATGACTGTTCTCCAATAGAAAGTCACTTTACCAAAAAGAGAAGGAGGTCAGATGAGGTGTTATGAATATAGTACACAATCATGCCATCAAAAAAGGTCCACCTAGGAAAATACCAGAGGTAATCTCAGGTGACGGCCCACCTGGCTGAAAAGTCCTACCCCCTTCTGAGTGAGCAGCAGAGCGGAAGGGATTTGGGAGAGGGGAAACATCAACGGTCTTAACTGTAACTTCATCTGGAGCACCCCCCACGTTCACCAAGAAGAAGACACACACAAACACGCTAGCACATCTGCACAGCTGAGCGGCGCCCCAGTGGGGTCATGAGTGGCACACTGGGCAGCGAACTGCAAGGGCAGCCATTGGACCCCACCAGCCGCTCCTCAGGAGAAAGATGAGGCTGCCTGCCCCTCTGAAGAGTTACGGTCACAGAAAACAAAGGGGGGCAGTGCTACCCCGTCCTCTAGGGTCGGTATGAGGAGGGTCACTCCGTGACAGTGGCTTACACAATTAAATCTGAAGCTGTTAAAAATGAGAAGGTGGAACTAGATGCATTGATTCAGAATATTATCCAAAATCTGGAAAATGAAAACTGGAGGGGATAAAAGCCTGTTAAATATTTTAGCCTGGGCATGAAAAAAAAAAGACACAAGCAAAAAATATGCACATATGCCTGATTTTTTTCTACAGACTATAAATACCTGTGGGGTGTGAAGAGCCACATAGCAATGGCTGTTTCTAAAAATAGGAACCAAGAATGGGAAGTTAGAAGAGGGGACAGATTCCCCGCCCCCCACTAGTTTACCGTCTGTCCTATGTTTGGGGGTTGCTTCCCAGGAGGCATGCGTTACTTTAAAAGGAGAATGCCCGCAGAGCTGGGAGGCATGGACGGAGATGTTGCCCCATCGGTTCCACTGGCCAAGCCAGCCCATCGTTGGGATCTCAGTTCCGGTCACATAAGCAATCCGGACTCATCCTAGCCACGGCTTCATTTCCCAAGCACGGAGTTTGAAACATGCCAACCATGGGGAGCCCTGTGCCGAGGAGTGTGTCGGCTAGAGGAGCGAGTCAACGTCAGCAGACTGGGTCCTTGAAGGCAGTTGATGCTGCCTTTCTGCCCGCGGACTTCTAACAGTGACACCATGCTGCTGGCGGGTGACTTTTGTCCCTCCCTCCCTGGTTATTGTTTGTTCCAAAGAGCAGAGTTGACTGAAGACAGAATCCCTGGACGAGGGGCCGTTGTTCACCGTCACTGGTTACAGAAGGTTCACTTTTAAGTCTGTGCTGATGCCCTCGAATTCTCCCTTCTCGTCAGTGGGGGCTTCTCGAAGCCCTGAGATGGGAACTCTCGGCCAGAGCATCCCTCCGTCAGAGAGACCCGGTGCGCCTCACTCTCTATTTATTCTCCAGACACATTGCTAGAGAGGGCTTTGTCCTGAAAGCCAGGTTTTCTCTGGGTCCCTTTCACTAATTGGGTTTGTAGTTGTTGTTTCTGAATGTCTGCTTGCTTATTTGGTAGGTTTGGTTGGATTCAGGGGGGCAGGTAACAGAAGACAAAGAGTCGGGGCAACCCTCTTTAGTCCCGCTGCTCAGGATGAAAACAAGCCCAGTCTCTGCTACGGACAGTACGGACAGTGGTAGGTGAGGCCTGGGAAGCAGCCAGGCTGCCAAACTGCCTAGGGATGTCCCAGCATCTGATGTTGTACCACTTTCCGAAGCAGCAGGAGCGCACAGGCACACAGACAGTAGACACTCAATAACTATTTGTGGAAGGACAAAGCTTTTATGCCGAGAAAAAAAGACTCCAACGATTTCAGATTTACCTGGCAACAAAGCCCTTCTTCGCAAAGAAACTCTTATTCAGAACCAGGCTGTACACACGGTAAAGGGAGGGGGGCCCATAGGTGAAGCGAGGACAGAAAGGGGCGGGTCTGGTCCTTCTCCTCAGGGTGGCTGTGTCTGGCCACGTGGATTGTGCACCGCACACTACAGGTGCCATGAACTGAGACCAGGCAATGCGGGTGGTAGCTCCCCCGCTCCATGGACTCATTCTGGAAGTAGCCTGTGGGCAGAAGGGCCAATCATCCCATCTTGTTTCCTCAACCACAAGAGTTCACTCTCATAAATATTGCAGCTTACGCAATGATTATATAGACTCATACCCATAAGGTGCCTTCCTGTTGGTTATCCGAAGGCTGGGCTGAACACAATTTGAAATCCTCAGATTTCAATTAAGGAATTCATTCAGAAAATTATTTTTGGAGTGCTGAGCCAACCATAGGGATGCTCCTGCCACCAGAGAGGAAATATATCTATGTGCTCAGGTGAGAGGGGCACCAACACTGGGCCAGGAGGATATGCCCAGGTGTGGGCAGCGGTCAGGTGAGCCCACACGCAGCAATCGGTGTGCTCCAGGATCTGCACTGTCGGAGCCGACAGGGGTCTGCGGAGACCATCAAAGAAGCTAGGTTTAGGCACACATCTCTAAAGGCTCTGACATCCCAGACCTGGGGTGTCCTCACGGCTCTCTCCGCAACCTAAGAGCATTGCGTGATGATGGACTGAGCCACCCTGAGAGCCCCGGGGGTCTAAGAAGGCGGCCCCGTGGGCTGTTTAGGGCATAGCTACAGCCTGGACTGACAGTGGTACTCACAGAAACTGCTTTAGTGCCTTCCAGCCAAGCCCTGTGAGGTCGGCCACAAGGAAGGGGGAAAAAAAAGAAAAGAGAATCTGAGATGGTTAAAGTTTATTGTGCCAAGCTGGCCGATAAACACAGGTGGGGTTAATTGAAGGGCAGAGAGATAAATGGCT